CTAACAAGTGATAGATGTACCTTGTGTTTCATCAGTGATGACTCCCTGCTCTTTAAGATACAGTTTTTCATCATCCACTACAACATGCCTCTCTAAATCTGAGAAAAATTCACAAAATAATCTTTAAAGCAGATACCACAAACAGAACGCAGTCTGAGTCCTTGGAAATAGAAATTGGTAAATTGAAAAAAAAAAAAAAAAAAAAAAAAAAAAAAAAAAAAAAAAAAAAAAAAAAGAAGCAGCTCTATCCTTATCAGCCCTACCAAAATAACTTGTTCCAATGTAGTCCTACATGTATGCGACACTAAGTAAACTAAGCTACACAGTTTTTCATACTCAGTTGCTTTAGCTAATTATTCTTAACACATAAATAGCCAAAATCTCTCACCTGGATTTCTTTCTTCAAGATCTTCTGTTTCTAGAAACTGACACACTTGATGCCGCAGAAGATAATACTCTCCTGATCTGTCAGGAGGCCATTGATACTCAAATAATCTTTCTGCAGTAAAGGCCTCCTCAACAATTTCAGGGGAAGAGGGATCAGGAACTTGTTTATTTGTTGTTTCAGTGGAGAGTTTTTCATTCCCTTGTTCATTTACCGAGTTCTCTTTCTGTTGCTCCTCCTGTATTTCAGTCTCTGTAAAAACTTTTGGTTCTTTCAATACAGCTGACTTCCTCTGGAAATTCAAGAACAGAGTGATGTTTTATTCGCTTCCAAATTATCAACACTAGTTAAAGAAGGAAAGAGACAAACAAACAGTGAAAAAATAAAGAAAGTAGCGCCAAGTTTCTAACAAACATATAATTGCTGCTACACGATGAAATCAAAACATTGAAATTACACCTTTCGCACATAAAATACATCTGCCACTCTACGACACTATTTAATTTATAAAACCAACCTTCCGTGGCATTCTTCGAGCAAAAATTACACCAAAAGCGTGCTACACTAGAGCATTGACAAAGCCGCTATCGCCGCCATATGCAGGCCTGGAAGCTGAGGTCCAAACCAGTTCACCACGAACCTTGCGGAAACGAGGCTACACGTGCGGGATATCACTAACAATGCCAAGAGAGCAAGATTTTCAAGCGTGTAAGATGCCACTCAAGCTCAAGTTGTAAATTCAGAAATACTGTTTAAAACCGAAAATAATAGCAAAAAACAAAAAGAAGTATTATTTTTTTTTAAATCGCCAAACGGACGAAAAGTTATTAATTCTTCATGTGTGATAATGCATAAAAGTGGTGTGTTCTGAGCCAGATCTGTGGCAAATAATTCAACGATGAAACAATAGGCCGACATATTTAGAATAAAGAGTACCACTGGCTGATTGGGAGTGGATTACTAATTGGAAATGAAATGCAGAAACACTCTGTTGACTTTGGTCTGGATTATACTGAACAACATTTACATTGCGTGGACCTGTCGACCCCCCTGGCGACAAGAGACTTTTCACACATGGTCTCCTTGTACGATATAATCCCTTAAGTCTTCGCGCAAACATTTCAAACAATTACTTAGTCGCCTTTTCGAAAGAGCACAAAGAAAAAACCGGACGTTGCCGTCTACGAATGTGGAGATATTACCATTTCAGGAAAAGAAGCTAATTACAAAACAAACGAGCAATAACCCGAAACTTTTCTTAAACAATACGAAATAAAGTTTACTGCCACGAGGCGTAGGAGTAGCTAAAATTATCTTTTGCATTTTCAGCAGTGTAGACGGGCTGGGAATGTTAACATACTCAGTTTTTCCTCAATTACAAAGCACATAAACAAATCCTGGATTCTGAGCACCTAGTTTGCTTTTTTCGTGCTAAACACGGTTTTCCCACTCCCTTTCTGATGACTTACTGATGTAATTAAAATCAAAGATAGGCCACTATGGGTTAAGATAACTACTGATAGTAGTCATCCCCTTCATGAACTGCTTCCTAGGAAAAGGGGACACCCTTATATCCTGCCACGTGTCAGAACTGCACGTCATGAACGTTGTTCTGTACACAGATTTTATTCAATTGTTATTCATACATTCGTACTTACCGAAGCGGCTGAGTTACACGGTCATCTTCCGCTTGTGGTGAACCTGACCTCTCAGTTTACATCAGTGTACTTCTATAAGTTCAATCAAGCACTGCACTCTTTGAATGTCTTGGCAATCAAGCACTGCAACGAGTCTTTATGACCTACGAATGACTCTCCATTCAAACCAATATATTTTCGGCGAGTGGGAGATAGGAGTTTCATCGATTGAAGCCTGCACAACCCATTTTGTTGACATTACATAACGTGGCTCGAAAACTTACCGCCGGCATAGGCATGTTGAATAGTTCCCTAGAGCTCTTTACATCCAGGGTTGACACCTTTATTATCTAAATCAAATTATTTTCATGCGTGTCATGCTTACAGGGGTAAATTATGAGAGTCAGTAAAGCATTACAAACCTCTTGTCAGAGACTGTGGGCTCAAAACAAACAGACCCAGCAACGTGACACATTTACTTGAAGAAAGGCCGGTTTAAAACCTTATATAAGTGATTTACATCATGACAAACTTCCACGTGAAGACTTGAGGAGTTCTAACTTATGTATGACTATTTTAAAAACATAAGGGTGCCAGGCTTCTCCCTCTTCCTCCTGTCTCCCGCGCAGATAGCATGTCCTAATCTTTCTTGGACGTCTTTGAGTATCGGTTTTCCGCTTTTTACACCGTTAACGACTTTATAATTATTGTGCCAAAGGGTTTCCTGCGAAGCCTCGGACATTTCGATTGTCAGTGATTGAGAGAAGACAGAAACAATATCCATTTTCTTGAGAGCTTATTTCAAAGGTTCAAACCCCCAAAGGAAGCTATTACCCTGGAACAAATTATAATCATCCTCCAGTCCAAACTGTATTGTTTAGCTTGCATCTTGAGAAACCGATAGATAGCTCTTGATATACTGAAACGAAACTGACAGACGACTCAAATTTCCTACATGTTATATTCTTGCGTTGCCGAAAGGCCAAGATAGTAACTAAAATAACCGTATTTTGCTAAAAAATGATAAGCCTATACATTTTAAGTTATATCTGTAGCACTAAGCTATTTTTGAAAGAAGGTCGTCTTATAGAATGTATTAATATCTTTCCTCTTTATTCACAGATAACCCATCACCGCCCTCCCAGCCTGTTATAACACGATTAGTAAAGTGTCATCTACCGTTCGTGGGGTTAATACAGAGTGCACGCGAAAGGGCGGTGGTTGACCGCGGAGATACAACCTGCTTGAAATTTCACAACTTGTTTGAACTATTTTGACACTTTGGCATCCTGCAAGGAGAATCCTTATGAAATTAATTCTTCATTGTGGCTGGATTATATAGGTTTTAAACTAAACAGAGGAGGAGCTAAACTCTTGGTATACATGTTTAACGAAACATCTGCGAATCGTTGCGTCAAAGTCAATACACGTACCTTCCACTCTCAATGTTTATTAAACTTAACCTATGTTCAATTTTCCTTTCACTGGTATGAAACAAGTTCCTCCTCTCGTATAAGTCCATAATTATTAACATGTACTCCATCGCTCTGCCGAATTTTTCGAAGCTAATAAACAAAACTTATCGATGTCTCGTTCAGTCTGATGTACATACAGATATACTGAGTTGATTTATGATTTAACTTCAAAAGTAACGGCAAGGTTTTCTAAACATATCGTTTAAGTAACACAACACTGTGAATTGTAAGCCCAAAAGAACATCTGGAAATTGCAGCTCTGTAGAATTGATAATAGTGAGATAGCGTGTAAATGGCTACGCCACTCTGAATCGCAAAAGAACGTGGAACGGATTTTGTCACAAGCTGGCTATTTCACTTCGGTGTTAGGGTTTATGTGCGGCAGCTGTAAACATTCTCTTTCTTCCTCTCCTTCCCAAGCTTTATCTTTACGCACACGTGCAGAAAGAGCTAACGGACTCTCTCCTTCGTCGGAGCTGGGGATGTTGGAACGATTCTATCAGCAAGAGTAACTAAGGTACAATGAAGTCAATGAACCACAGTGTACTTTTACAGTTTTCATTCCTAACAGCTTTCCGCCCATGACATACTTTCTCTAATGCAGAGATCAATGAAATCTTACTCAATACAATATCAAATTTATGAGTGCAAGCGGTTCTGGACCACGAAAATGCCGACCAATAATTTTCGCTGTATACCACTGATATTCGAAAGATTTGGTTTTCGCCACAAACGATGTTAATCTCTGAGGACACATAGCACGCATAGATTAACTATGTTCAGAGAAAAAGAAACCAACCAAAATCTGAAGCAAGCTGTTTTAGAATGTTTTCTTCATAAACTTAGTCATTCTCTCAAAAGGTGAGTCAGTTTAGTTTATATCCACTTCAGCGTTTTAGGAATAACCCGCACACGTTAAGGTGTTGACCGCAAAATTAGCGAAACCTTTGCTTCCTTTTAAGTTACTCATTCAAAATAGTTAGAGTCACAGGTTTGGTACAGTAGGAGGGTGAGAGGAACAGAATTAATTGTACATCATCGCCAGTCTTTGGGGTAAACTGCGAGGCCATTTGCATCGTACTACACAGACCACACGTGCTCATTTTATAAAACCATTTTAGAAACAGTCTGAGGTCTCTCCTATGTGCAATTTTATCCACAAATTTTTAAAAGCGATTGAAAATCTCAGATCAGTTGAAAACGGTTTTTCTGTCCGTTAGTCGTACCCTGAATTCAAAGAATTAGCGAGTTCAACCCAATTAGCCTTTCAAACGCAGTTTTATGTTGCGGTAAACTGGATTGCTACAATCCTCACCAGCAGAATAATGTTCAACCTCGACGGCATTTTAAGCTGTTACCGTACAGAAGTAAAAACAAAACGCAGAAAACTAACCAGCAATCAAATTCATTATGCAGGCCGCAGGATCAATTTTACAAAAAGATGGAAATCCAAATCTGTGAATAATAGAACCGTGACCAATTTTTTTTTAGCTTACGGATCATTGACTCTTCAACCTTGTGATTATATACGCAAGATTGAAATCTTCACAACTTTATTTGGTTCAATTTCGTTTTCATCCGCAGACATTACTGCGGATTAACTCTGAAATAATACTGAATTGATTTGGTAGGAGAAGAGGCACAGAAAAGAGGACAACTTCCAAAAAGAATTGAGTTCATACCTTTTCAGATTATATTCGTATTTCCATAACCGAACCGGTTCGTTCCCTGTTCCCCGAGTGTATGTGTATTTGAATGTGGTTGAGTGAAATAAAAAAGATTTCAAAAAGGTCAAATACAACTTAGGTTTATTAACAAGTGGAACTTAAACAAGAACTGTTCAAGGATTGAAGGCTACAAAGAGTTCGCAGGTTTTGGCATCGATGGGGAAAACAAATTAAAGATTAGGGAGCAGAATAAACTAACAACAGACAAAAACTCATGTTCATTAACTTCAAGTAAACAGGTACGCGCAAATATACCCCCTTAAAGGGGCAAGAAATTAGAAAAACAAAGCAACTTTATTAAACTAACACATCACTTTTAGTTCCCCCCACGATGAAGAACAACAGAACTGTAAGAAGTTAATAAAAGCCGTCAGACGGTAACGAGCTCACTTACACATCTCATTGGTAATGTAATTTTGTGTTTTGGTGTTGTTAATTAAATTCTACGATGACTTTTCAATAAGAACATTTAGATGTAAGGAAGAAGTTTGTTTTTGAGGACGTGCAGTTCCTTGAAGGACCAAAGCACCGGAGACAGAATAAAGACAAAAGTAATTAAAGTGCTGATTAAGTAATTACACGCCAATTCAATTTTCTCTCGTAGTCAGTTGCAGATTACGGGAGTTTTACCGCCAAAGGAAGGCACGTCTCTGCTAAGGTGTCAAAATAGGCAGACTTGATAACAAGTTTGAAAAATTCTTTGATTTTCGCAAAAATGGGTAAAATTGACCACAAACAGTATGAAATAATTTTGCTTATAGTAAAGAATTGTTTGGGGTTAATCTCATT